TGTGCCCGATTCTGTGCCGAGCGTCTTGATTACATTCGAAAGTCCAGAGGGCACAGAGAGCCCATGAGAGTTCTCAGCTCTTACGAGAAAAACATATGAAGTGGCTGGTTTTAAGCCGGAGATCTGAAAAGAAAACAAATGAGGTGATGAGTGTTATAAGGACATTATGCACAAACATAATCTCGCTTTCGTATTAGATGTTAAACATCAATATATCTTTAAAGGGGCAACAGTTCAATTAGAGGAAATCTTCAAATTAGGTACGTACACAAATAGTTTTTAAATAAAAAAATATTCAATAATTTTTTATGAAAATATCATATTCTATAGCAAAAACTACATAAATCCATTTTTTTAAATTTACAATGATTCAACCAATTTTCATCAAACTTTCAAACTTAAAAAACAAATTTTAGTTTCCAGTTTTATGTCCGTTTAGTTATAGCTACGGTGACCATCCATCCTGTATTATACGCGACAATCCCCGTTTTTCGTCAATTGTCCTGGTAATTTATTCATATTTCATACGGCACGCCAAATGTTCTGTATTTATTTTAATGTCCCGTATTCGGTATTTTGGCGCCTTAAAAGCTCATAAAAATACGCTTGTAATTGAATCGAGGAGCACATATGTAGATGGTTTCTGAAGTTACAATTTTGCTTAGAAGAACGCCATAATGTCATCTTCGAGGTCATAAAACAAAAAATTTATTCAATAAAAAAAAATAAAAATTTGTTTTTGTTGTCGCTGAAACCGAAGATGGTGGCGCCTCGATTCCTCAAGGTCATCCCAGGGTCAAATTCAGATGAATTTTACTGAATTTTCAGGTTTATTCAATGAATTTTTCCCTACTTGAACTTGAAATGACCACGAACCTGACGACATGGAGGCTAACGGACCTCGTATTCGCTTTCCGCAACCTGTAAACCTGTGTTATTAATATTCTCTATTCGTATATACTCGTATTTATTAAATTCAATTCAATAAAATCAAAACGAATATTTCATATGCCGTTTTAACTTGAATGTGCTCTTTATAATACTAAGTATTGTACGTTTAAATTTAGCGGCTGTGGCTCCAACACAGCCCGCGGGTCAAGACGAAGGCGCTGGACTTATCCTTTTTTTATCAAATTATCTTTCTTGTTCAGTTAATAGTGACCTTATTCCCAGATATCAAGCTGGTCTGGTCTTTTTGGGAACTGAAGTTATGTAACTTCGCCTTAGCCTTTGTATACGAAAACCGCTCCCAAACTGCATATTAACTAAAAGCTTAAATCCAACCTTACTTACCAAGAGATAAGCATTTGCAGTATTATAATAAGTATATTAATATTATTATATTTTTGGCACTTTGTATAAGTGCATAAATATATGCAAATATATCCATACATATGTATGTATATGTGTAGTATTCCAGGCTAACAGACAATATGGGAATAAAGGCGATATTTGCATGCAGGTATGCAAATAGTACTTGTTCATACCAAAGTACTTAAAGCCGAGCTGTTAGTTTTCGCTGTAATAAGATGCAAATGTGCGCTACTTTCGGCTTAGAACGGCAGTAGTGTGCGCTATCAGCACAAAAAAAAAAATAGTTTGCCAATTTGCATATACAGTAAGATAGAAACGGCTGCAGATATAGATTTATGAAAGTGTGCAAACATTTAAACAGACATAAATATGTATGCATAAAAGAGAAAGAAAAAACTATAAGCCAAAAATATATTTTAGTTATAATGCCTTGGTTTATATCTTGCCATGAATCAGCAGGACACCTGGAGGAACTGGTGAAATCTCTAAGCTACCCTAAGGCGATATAGTAAGTGCTTATGAATAACGCTCTGTGAATATTTAAGAATGGCACTAAGGAGTTGAATATACATATGCTATATACATACATGCAGGGTTGCCACTGACGAAAAAAAATATTTACCATCCACTTGAAAAAAATCTACCAAATCTGGGAAATATCTACCAATAACTTTTTATAATTATTTTAATCAAAACTATAGTTTTGTTATTTTTTATTTATTTTAATTAAAACTATACTTTTCTTTATTTTTTTAGTTATTTCAATAAGAATTAAAATTGTTTTTAAGAACTTTTTATTTAACTAGTTATACGGTATTTGAGTCATATTATTGGCATATTCTCAGTTTCCTTCAAACAAAAGCGAAAGTGATGAAACTAAAGGCAACAATGAAACTTCATTATTTGAAAAACTTCAACCCGAGTTATTATAGACAAATACCGTGACTCAAAAAAGTGATTTTTTTTAATATTCGCAGTATTTTTCGAGTAAAATTTTTTTATTGCTTTAACTAAATCCATAAAAATCGAGGATTCAAACTATATACAACATATACAAGTAGAAAAATTCCAAAAATTTTCTTCTAAATTTCGAATTTTTTACTCTGAATTTTTAGAACAATTTAAGGTATGGAGTTTTAAAGCAAATACTATTTGAGTATAGCCAACAATGTGCTACTTAAAATTCCCGTTGATTTTTTTATTTTTTTTTCCATTGATAAAAAATGGTATTGATTTAATTTTTTTGCGAACAATCATAGTGCGTAATTACATACCTGTCAATTTTTTTTGTTATATTTAAATAATCATTTAAAATATTTAGGCAATCAAAAGCTCCTCGGGATTCCAGTAAAATTAGTTTGAATGGAGCGAGATATGTTCGCCTTATATCGATATACATTTATACGTATGTAATTATATAAAATGTATGCAAAGAAATTTTTAATATATTTAAAGATAACTACGAAAAATAAATCGGGAACGGAAAGTTCATCAAAAATCTACCAAAATGAGAAAAAATTTACCTTTTTACCAACCCAATTTTTTTCTACCAATTTTGGTAACAATTTACCAAAGTGGCAACCCTGCATACATGTGAATGTATGTGTACACGTAACTATACATATATGTATATAAATTGCACACTTACCGTTATTTGCTGATCGGGCA